GAACAAATAGACTCAAGGACAGCTTTTACAACAGGGCAATAGCCCTAATCAATGTAAATAGCTGACCTGACTGGATACCTCCCTGGACTTTTTTAGGGGGGAGGTAACAATGTTTAAAACAATAACAATAATATTTATATTTATAACAAGGTGCAATAATAATTAATGTGCAATAATAACAGTGTGCAATACACATACACTAATTCTTCTTTTTTATACTAAGTTAATATACTGTGTTGTTTGTTGAGTTGTGATGTGTCATATCGTGTCGTGTTGTGTTATATGTAGTGCCGACGTAGGACAGTTTTTCCAATTTCATTGTACTACTGTACTATGTATGACTGTGCAATGACAATAAAGAGTTATCTTATATAAATTCACGGTTCGGTTCGATACTTTGGTGTGACGGTTAGATATTCTTTCGATACAAAAAAATGTTCATACCTTTTTAATTTGTCAGTTATTAAAATTATAAATATATATTTTAACTCAAAAGTACAGTATTTAAATTTAATGTTGCTGAAACAACAAAATAATAAAAAATATAAATCTATCTGATTGAGGAATCACTCATCTTTGGAAAAGAGTTTAATACAGAGAAATGGCTCTTTCCAAAATAAAAGCTATACTATACGCTTCTTCTGGGCTATATTCTCAGCAGCATATTAAACATATCAGGTCCCCATAAGAGGAAGAATCATGTGCTAACGGCTGTCGTAGGCTACGTTCACACTGCAGGCGAAAGTGCATCAAATCCGATTTTTTTGACCCTATGCGACCCATATCCGATCATGGTGTGACAGTGTGAACGGCACAAATCCGATATTTTCAAATCCGATCTGGGTCACTTTCGTATGTGGTACTGAATCCGATACATATCCGATGTTTCAGAAAGCGACTGCTGTGTGAACGGTCAAGTCGCATTAAATCCGTCTTTTACGTCACTGACCCAAGACAGACTCCAATTATCAGCGCCGGAGAAGACATCGCAAGCGCTTCCTGGCCATCCAGTGTAGATGTTAGTGAAACTGTTGGGAAGACAACGTGAACATTTTATTTGTACTGTATAATCTGCAGATTCTGACAGAAATCTGCAGCTATCCTCTAAAACAGCAATAAGGATCATTATTAGGTTATTTGGGGTTGGGGTGGCTGAGCAGGTCAGCCACTAATCAGAAGGTCGGTGGTTCGATCCCAGGCTGCCTCCTGGCAGGCTGCCTCCTGTGAATGAATGGGTGAATGACTGAATGTAGTGTAAAGCGCTTTGGGGTCCTATGGACTAGAAAAGCGCTATACAAATGCAGGCCATTTACCATTTACCATTTACATTATTATGTAAATAACAAAATAACTTAAAGCAAAAAATGGGAAACGTAAAGTCCGAAGTCTTTATATTAAGGGCCATCAGTCAAACAATACTGTTTGCTCTGGGTCTAAACAGAGCGCGTTGTGTGTGACGTCTTCTTTTGCGCATGCGGCCACTTTGAGCGTTCACACTAGAGCGCGTTTGCTGTCGCATTTTATTTGTAGTGTGAACAAGCAGACAAAAAAAAATCGGATTTGATCAAAAAATCGGAATTGAGCATTAAGACCTGCAGAGTGAACGTAGCCTAAATGACTCGGGTAAAGTTTGTAGAATGCGTGCTTGTTGTTTTTGTCTTCTTCCACTTGTCTTTGCACTAGGATGATGTCGGCGTAAATGTGCAGTCATATTCGTTGTGTTCCCACTAGTGCTGTCAGCGTTAATCTGAAATGATGTTAACGCCACAACACGGCAAAGTTAACGAGCTACCGCGGATCGCCACGTGCGTGGGGCTGGACGGTGTCAACACGTTAACGAGCAAACTGCGCTAACGCACTAGTTCCCACCAATGTAATTGAGCATTGCGTGGCACATCCAACATACTGTTTTACTTTTGTCCATGACGCGCTTACCTTCAGGGTCATATGTCACATGAAGATCAAAATAATTCCAAAGGCCAGATCTGAACGGTTCAATATCGATACGAGTATCGTTGCATCCCTAATAGATATTTATTTGGGTTGGTGGTTGTATTCCTGAAAGTACTGCTATACTGCGGTTAGCAAAAGCCCATTTCAGAAGAGCAATTCACTGCAGTAATTGGCAAGTAATTTAAAGACCCATATTTATTTTACACAACAGGACAAAAACAACATGTCAAATTCTGAAATTAAGAATTTCATTAAAATGTAACAAGTTTGTACACTTTCCAGCTCTGTGTTTGGGACCTGTGGAGACTCACTGCTATACCTTTGAAAGAAAAAGATTTCCCCTGCTCAACAGTGTGGGCCTTCACATCTGTATATATCCATCAGCATTAATAGGGCCTTCACTGATGTGTAGGTTAGCCATCCCATGTTCAAGATGCAACACAGTTTACTATGATAACAATGGTTCCCCTCCTCTCTAGTCTGCAGATCACAACATCCATGACCAAAACAATTTTAAATTCTGACCGTTTCCACTACACCTCAAAGTTTGAAGATGGAGCTGACAATTTAGCTGTTGACCAATATCACCACTCTTCTGTGCTGTGGGTGAAAGATTAAGATCACAGATACAAAGGGAGGAGAACTGCATCCAGAGGACCAGCGTTTACCTTGGTTTTCTGGAAGTAGTTCTTCAATGTATGTTTCGGCTAATTGTCGTGTTGGAAGATAAATCAACAACCGAATGTTGCTGCTGACTACTTTAACCTCCTAGGACCTGGCGTCCACATATGTGGACATCACATTTTGGGTTATTTAGATTAAAATACTCAATTATGCTCTACAAGGGCCTGATGTCCACTCACGAGGACATTATCCTGCTACTGTTCTATCAATTTTTAAACGAATATCCTCATATGTAGCTCTTATTTTTCTTAAAAACAAAAATAAGGTAAAAAAAAAAAGATCTGGTAATCCTTTGTATTTATGTTCATCGGGCCCCAATATGCCCAACTATCAAAGAGAAATTAAAAATGCATGCCGTGGAAGAGTTTGGGTCTTAGGAGGTTAAGTTTACTTTCAAAATCTTCCTCTTTTCTTCATGATCCCTTTCACCTTGATGAGATTTCCAGTTCTAGACACTCTGAAGCATCCCCACACCTTAATACTCCCACCACTGTGTTTAAATGTGGTGTTCTGTGGATTGTATACCTCTACCTTCTTCCTCCAAACATAAGCAGCATCTCTAAGGCCTAAGAGTAGTAGTTTCGTCTCACCTGACCACAGGTGATACTTTCAGTATGCATAATGTTTCTCCAAGTTATCCTTAGCATACTGTCTGGCTTCAAGGTGTCTCTTCTGCAGAAGTGGACTTTTTCTTGGTGTGCAACTTCACACTCCATTCCTGCGCAGGGTCTCAGTGATTGTCTTATTTGAGACTGCAATTCGTGACTTTGCTAAGTCATTTAGTGTCTTAACAGTTGTTCAAGGGTCTTTGGAACATCTCTCATTCATTTTCTTTCCAGAGTTTGAAATCTTTTGTTTCCTACTTCTGCCAGGCTTGTTCTGTACTGTTAAGCCCTCTTTGAATTTTTCTGTGATACTTCTGGCTCCAGTTCTTGAAACGTGGATATGCTATGGTCATTGTGTATACCCATCTCCTGCTTTGTGAGCACAACAACTTTTCTTCTCAAGTCTAAACTGATTTCTTTTGTTTCTGGCATGATGCTTTCTCAAGTGACAGCTCCAACCCTTGCCTGATATTTTAATACTCAGAATAAATTAGAACATAACCCTGTGTTTTAGCTGGATTTTACAAGCTTTAAAGATAACAAAGTTAAAACACAACATTGAACACTAGTGATTCGTGTTTTGGCTCAATCAAAAAGTCAGATTTTAGGGTGCTAATAATATCGAACCTGGTAATATTTTTCTAAGAAATCTGTTATTCTGTTATTGTGTGTAAACAGAAAAACAATATGCTTTCCAAAGTATTAGCATGTGTAAAAAGGCTATGTTGAAAATCCCTTGAACAACTTGGAAAACGTTGACAAAACTTCTGCCCTCTGCAGGTGGTAAAAGGTGTTGCCAAATATATCTGTGTGGCCTGTCCAGGTGCAGTCTATGTATGCTAAACACAGTGAAAATATTACATCTTCAAAATAGAAATACTATCTATGTTAGTGTAGAGGATGTGAAAAATTCCTCTTTTTTAACTCACTTTATCCCACAGAGACTGCAGCTCCTCCTGACCTCCCAAATCCCAGAACATTAGACGAGCCTTGCCAACATCAATTGTGCCAACTGTAAAGGAAAGCAAGAGATTCCCAAAAATGTTATAGATCAGCAGTTTAAATCAAGAACGTTCTGTGAGCTAGAAAGAAAGGTAGCATTAGAACATGAAAGATTACATAATTGCATTGATTTGTCCTTTTCTATACCATAACGGTTAAAATATGAAATTACAATTAATTCCTGCAGTTACTCATCAAAAAAGAACTAATAATCATTTTTCATTGTTAAGCAGTAATTACACACTCAAAAAGCAAGCGATTCCTGCTACTTTGACAAGGCAGGAGAAAACTGTGAAAGAGGTCATGCTGAAGCAAGCCTAACACTGTTACATTCACTTACTGTTCAGGCCAACTGTAGTGGTGATCTTGGATAAAGTCATCCCCTTGTAATTCTTACTAAACTTTGTTTTGGTCTGTTCCAGGAAAGTCTACAGACACAGAAAATAAGAGTAACCATTGACTGGTGAATTACTCAGGTGATGAGCACTGTGTAAGTATCTGTGCATGTGTAAAACAAAATTAGCTAAACTTCAGGCAGCTCATTTGCAGGTGGTGGCCACAGACTCTCTTTCTCCTGCCTGATTTTTTCACTTTTGCTAGTGTCCTTGTCTTTGACAGGATCAAGTGGGACAGTTCATTCAGGCAGTCTAACCCCTTTAGAGTGGCACATTCATAAGTGATTTCTTATTGTTTATGCTCCATTAATGGCCAGATTGATAACCGTCATTTACTTTAATTTTTTCACCCACTTATTTAGCTCAATCATCCAGGTAAGTTAATCCGTTCTGTAACTTAGGTTTTGTCCTATTTACTGTTCATGATTTCTTGAGACAAAGAGAGCGATAGACCACAAAGATAACGTAAACAAGAGAACATAACACCGCTTTCAATGCTATGTGCATAACCCAGTTAACCAATTATATAACACAACATCACTTTGATACCGTTTTTCCGGCGTTATCCAGTCCCAGGATCAAAACGCAGTATTCATCCTTCTGGAACATGTACTTATATAATCCAGATAATAAAGTGTACATCTTGAAAAAAGTAAACATAAACAAAAACGCGTCCGTGTTCGCTAGTCCTAATGTTGGCTAGGTAGCTTAGCTTAGCTATGAGGCTACACAAGCAACACGCGCCACTGTGGCTTCATTATACTCCCACTAAACATGCCTGTGTGCGAATAGGGGTAGAATAACATGTATGCACTCATAAAACAAGTCGGAAAGCCGTCGTTTAAAAGCACACTTCTACTATGATAGTCTGAACACAATGCTGTTTCTACGTGTCACGTATCTAGGAAGTGCAACTGTATGAATTATGGGAAATGAAGTACATATGGATTCTACCACATTACGTTAGGTGGCGGTGTTTTAGATATAAAACTTCGTTTCCCAGGAGGAAGTTCGAAAGCGTGTTACATCATTTTAAAGAAAAACGCAACAAATATAGAATGAATTGATTTGTTCCAGTAGCTGTAGAAAGTTCAGAACCAGAGCGTTATTAAGTGAGTGCTGACAGTCTCAATAACTGTTTGTTTTTTAATGACGTTTCATCTCTCAGCCATTCAGAAGCGAGGACCTGCAAAGACAGTAAAACATTCTCTACTACAGCGTCACTTAACTTATATTAAAACCCTGACTTCATTCCTTCACCAAGCAGTAAGTCATGTTTTACTTAGGGCTTAAATACTTATTCATTTAATGTAATGCAAATCATGGACTTCTTTTGTCTTTCGGGGGGTGGGAAATATTCCATCTCTCTCTGTAAGAATAAAATGACCATGTTACCATAAAAATTAGAGACTTGTTTGTTTTTGTTTTTTTTTTGGGGGGGGTTGTAAATAAGCAGGCTTAAAATTCAGCAGTGGAACAAGTAATTATATCCCCTACTGTTTATGGATGCTGCTGAGTTTAAAGTGAAATAGGCTGAATGACAATTTGAACATTCCCTTCATTAAAATACATTGTAAATATTTTACAACTTAAAGTTTACAGTGGGTGACACCATATATTTAAATAATGCGATATATATATATATTATTATATATATATATATATATATATATATATATAATATCAAGTTAAATATTTTATCCATCTTTCCACTTTCTTCTGCTAATCTGGACCCAGGTCACGGGGGCACCAGGCTAAGCAGAGAAGCCTACATCTCCCTCTCCCTAGCCACCTCCTCCTGCTCCAAGGCGTTCCCAGGCCAGCCAAGAGATATGGGCTGTTTTCCAATTTAGGGGCTGCATCATTCGGAGGACCCGGCCTTTTTGGTCTACGTGGGCCGGGTCTTTGGAAGACCAAGAAGGCCTGAAGTGCGAGGCTTGTGAAATGGGACAGTCTAGCCTCCATCGCACTGCTCAGTTTGCCAAGCAACCTGAGCAGCGCAGCTGTTTGACAGAAATGAAGGAGAAATTTGTTTTTACATGTGCTTTGTTTGATTAGTTGAGTATCTGAGGCTGAGATCACAGGACTGTAAAACATGATTGTTGGGCTTCATTTCTGTACTGAACAGTCATTTCAAGGTTAGCTAGTAAATATCAATTAGCTAATGTTGTTCATGAGACTAAAATCATCTCACTTTGGTAATGTAAATATAATATGGTCAACAGCAAAGTTATTATATTAATCATTATTAGTTATTACAGCAGTGAACATGAACTCTGTGTCAAATACTGAGCTTCAGTAAAGATTCAAGTTGCATTATTTATATTTCCTATCACCTTAAATCTTCACTCAAAGACAAGTATCTTTGACAGTGTATATATAGATGTATTATATATAAGAGACAAATATTGTTCTTTTAATATGTTGGCATTACTAAATTTGGCTCAATGCTTACATATATGTGTAAAAAGCAAATGTACGAGCTGTGATAACTGTGTCTGATAGAATGAAGAGTAGACTGATATATGAAATATTCCTTTATTGGGTGAGAAAATCAGACCATGTCATAACTGCTTTAAGTCACACAGAATAGATATCAGAGCCTTAAACAGGCTGACTTCTGCTAAATGGGTCAAACTGGGCAGAAAGTCTACAAACACATAACATCCTTATAGAATATGATGTAACACTATAGATCAACTTACCTCAGAATATATAAAGCATATAAACAATTACAGCAATATGATGCAACAAACACAGCAGTGCTACTATCCAAAATACTCAAAGCTTCATAGAACTGAAACAAACATTTATTTTTAGGCTCCATTCTGCTGCTGATACATACTTTAGGTTTCTGAACATTAAACTTTTAGGGGAACGTAACAAGTGGGGGCTCGTCCAGGATAGTTGAAAAGGGAGTTTTGAGTTGGAATTGGTTTTTGATTATCTTGCTTTTTTCACCTTTAGAGATTCAACTTCCCAGTTTAGTTAGGTGAGTGTCCAGCTGAGCTTTGTTTTAAGCCTTTCATAGTGTGTAACTTGAAAGCCCTGAGTACTTTCTCCCACACTGAAAACACTGGGATGATACAATTATTTAAACATTACCTAATAAGACTGATTCAGGACAGACAATTGGTTATTTCTGCCTTTTGCAGAAAGGCTTAATGCAGTTTTTTGATTTTTCACAAAGTGTATTGTAACAAAAATCAGCTGATTTAAAAAGCTTGATCAGTGTATGACATGATTAACTGTCAATATCCACAGGGAGAGTTAAAATATGAATAAAAATTAAAGTGTTGAAAAAGCAGCTTGTTAAACAATTGTGGTGGGGGTGCTGAGCCTGCATCTGTTCAACTAGCCTGTTTTATGGACATGTGCCTTTGCCTCTGATTCTGCTAAAATCGTTTATTTGGTGCAAATTATGACTGGCCGGGCGCTTCAATGGGCTCAGGCAGTTTTAAATACCCAGCCCTCTGTGTCATATGACGTCTTTCTCAGCAAGTTTCGCTGTGTATTTGATAAAGGCGCTAGCTCGGATGCCGCAGGTCATCGCATGTTTTCTCTGAAGCAAGGTAGGAGGAGTGTTGCTGACTTTTCCGTGGAGTTCTGGATCCTGGCGGAGGAGTCGGGCTGGGAGGAGAAAGCACTGCATGGAGCCTTCCTCAACAGCCTTAACAAGAATATTAAGCGTGAGTTAGCAACCAAGGAACTGCCTAAAGCTTTGTCTGCTCTAATCAATATGTGTATTAACTTAGACGACCACATGCGGGAGTTCGGCAAAAGAACCTTCCTACTCTGATGTGGAGAAGTGAGGAGGAGGAGCAACACGGGGATGAAGAGCAACCCATGCAGCTTGGCGGAGCCAAGCTTTCATCCTCTAGACTGGGGCGCAAACAACGGACTGGTGAGTGCTTTCTTTCTGGAAAAAGAGGACATTTTGTTGACTCCTGCCCGGACCCGGACGAGCCCCCATGTTACGGCCCTAGCTGGGCCTCCTCTTGAATGTCCCGTTTGTGGGCGTGTCCCACTACCTCTTCTGCCTGAGGTGCCACCTTTCCCTCTTGTGCAGCTGACTCTTGTCAGTAGTTAAAGAGATTTAAGCCCAGGGAAAGGTGAGCTCTGGGCCAGAGTGCCATTAGTGTGGTTACAGCTAGTGAGCTGAGTGCTTTGGGGTGTTTCCAGCTAGTGAGCTGTGTTTTTGTGGTTTTCAGCTAGTGAGCTGCGTGTCTGTGTTTGCAGCTTGTGAGCTGCACTCTTTTTGACTTACTTTGTGCTTTATTGACTAACATTTGAGTTTAGTTTGTTTTCTTAAATGGTGATAGCGGCTTGTCCGTCTCTTTTAGTTGAGCTATTTTAATAAAACTCTTCAATTTAACCCTTTTGCCTCCTTGACTCCTTTTTCTGACCCGGACACTTATTGTTACTTCCCCCTCACCGCCTGGACCCTTTTAGGGGAACGTAACAAGGCACGGGTACATCCAAGGACCTTCCTACTCTGATGTGGAGAAGTGAGGAGAAGGAGCAACACGGGGATGAAGAGCAACCCATGCAGCTTGGCGGTCCTCTAGACTGGGGCGCAAACAATGGACTGGTGAGTGCTTTCTTTGTGGAAAAAGAGGACATTTTGTTGACTCCTGCCCAGACCGAGTAAAAGAGTCGGCCCGTCAGTAATTGTGGGGATACTGGCGGGCGCCACAACAAAAGTGTTCCCTCACCTCAGCTGCCCTGCTAAATTAATGTCTCACTCCCTCACTCACTCCTGCTGCGCACTCATTGACTCTGGTTCTGAACAAAATTTCCTAGACGAAGAGTTAGCCAAGATCTTAGGCCTGCCCCTACTTCCCCTTCCAGAGGTCCTGAAGGTCTCAGCCTTAAATGGCGGCCATCTAGCCTCCGTCACACATCGCACTCAGGAGGTTACACTCATTATTTCGGGAAATCACTCTGAGAAAATCAGTTTATACGTATTCAAAGCCCCCCACACCCCACTGGTACTGGGATTTCCGTGGCTCCAACTTCACAACCCCCAAATCGACTAGGCCAAAGGGTATGTAACCGACTGGAGCACGCGGTGTCATGAACAATGTTTACTTGCCGCTGTCCCGGACAATCCCGGGACCGCCTCTGCGAAAAGCTCCTCACCCCCCGACCTTTCCTTGGTGCCCGCCGAATACCACGACCTCGGCCAGGTATTCAGCAAAAGTAAGGTGTTGTCTTTGCCTCCACATCGGCCTTACGACTGTGGAATTGACCTACTCCCAGGCGCTCCCCTGCCAACAAGTTGGCTCTACAGTCTGTCTAAACCGGAACGCGAGACCATGGAACGCTACATAACGGAGTCTCTGGCCGCAGGTATTATTCGCCCATCTACTTTGCCTTTAGCAGCAGGATTCTTTTTTGTAAAAAAGAAAGATAAGAGCCTGCGTCCCTGCACTGACTTTCGAGGGCTGAACAAGATCACTGTTAGGAATAAATATCCACTCCCCCTGCTGGCCTCAGCATTCGAACTACTACAGGGAGCGCTCCTGTTCACCAAACTGGATCTTCAGAACGCCTATCATCTGGTTTGCATCCGCAAGGGTGACGAGTGGAAGACGGCTTTCAACACCCACCTGGAGCACTTCGAATACTTAGTGATGCCTTTCGGTCTTGGTAACGCCCCTGCAGTCTTCCAGGCCCTGATTAATGATGTGCTCAGGGACTTTATTAACCATTTTGTCTTCGTGTATCTGGATGACATTCTGATTTTTTCCAGGTCGCAGTCTGAGCACATCAACCATGTACGTCTGGTTCTACGGCGCCTATTGGAGAACCGCCTTTTTGTGAAAGCGGAAAAATGTGAGTTCCATGTGCAAACTGTTTCTTTTCTGGGTTTCATTGTGGAACAGGGGCGTTTGCGAGCTGACCTGGCCAAAGTCAAAGCCGTAGTGGAATGGCCTATTCCCAAGACCCGCAAGGAGGTGCAGAGGTTCCTGGGCTTCGCCAATTTCTACCGCTACTTTATCAGGGATTTCAGCAAGGTAGCCCTCCCTCTAACCAACCTAACTTATCCTAAGTTGTCTTTCCAGTGGTCCTCCGCAGCCCAGCAAGGTTTGATCGGAGGAATGGCGACATTGGCTGGAGGGCACTGAGCAGCCTTTCGTGGTGTAGACGGACCACAAAAATCTGGCGTATCTCCAGGCAGCCAAGCGACTCAACGCCCGACAAGCCAGGAGGGCATTGTTTTTTACCCGTTTTCACTTCTCCATTACTTACAGGCCCGGTTCTAGGAACACTAAGCCAGACGCGTTGTCGCGCCAGTTCGCACCTGTGACCGATGAGGATGAGAAGGAAAAACCCATCCTGCCCCCCACCTGCATTGTGGGTGCACTGACATGGGTGGTCAGGGACGCCCAGCGACAGGAGCCCGACCCTGGCACGGGCCCGAAAGGGAAACTGTATGTTCCCGCCACAGCGCGTAGTCAGGTCATTCACTGGGAACATACTGCCAAGTTTTCGTGCCACCCAGGTAAAAATCGCACTGTCTCCTTTCTACAACGTTTGTTTTGGTGGCCCTCTCTTATTCTCGATGTCCAGAACTATGTTGCGGCATGCCCGGTGTGCGCAAAGAACAAAACCTCCAACTCACCTGCTTCTGGCCTCCTGCGACCGTTGCCCACTCCAAAACGCCCGTGGTCGCACATCGTCACCGGCTTGCCTCCCTCTTCAGGTAACACCTCCATTCTAACCATTGTTGACCATTTTTCCAAGGCCGCCCACTTCATTGCTCTGCCCAAGCTCCCTTCTGCCTTGGAGACGGCCCAGTTACTGACGCAGCATGTGTTTCGGCTCCATGGCATACCCCAGGACATCGTTTCCGACCATGGCGGGCCACGCGCGCAGCACTCCTGAGAACGGCTGAGCGGAATAAGGCATTGGCGGATTGCCGTCGCGCTCCTGCTCCGGATTATCGGGTCGGCCAACGGGTGTGGCTCTCCAGCAAGCACATCCCTCTTCGGACTGAGTCCAAGAAACTGGCCCCTCGGACTCTTGGCCCCTTTGCCATCCAGGAGGTCCTGAACCCGGTGACGGTCCGGCTGGCCCTTCCGCCTCCTATGAAGGTACATAACGTCTTCCATGTTTCTTATGTTAGGCCCGTCCGGACCAGCCCTTTGTGCCCGCCCTCCAGGCCCCCGCCACCCTCCCGGGTTATCGACGGCGCCCCGGCGTATTCCATTACTCGCATAATGGATGCCCGGCGCCGCGGTAGGGGCTTTCAGTTTTTGGTGGATTGGGAGGGGTACGGTCCGGAAGAACGTTCTTGGGTGCCGCGGTCTGCCGTTCTCGATCATCGCATGGTGAGAGAATTCCGCCGCTGGCATCCGGACAGGTTTGCCAGGTCGCCCGGGGGCTCCCGTTAGAGGGGGGGTACTGTCACGGTCGGACGGTTCTTTCCGGACGACCCTGCTTGTGTTTATGTTTTCTGTGTGTGTGTGTTTGCTTCTCCCTCCCTGGTCCTCGGGGCTGTTTACGGAAGTGCGTGCCGTGGGAGAGGCGTGTCCTGGCGACTGTCGTCATTGGGAGTCCCTCTTCGCTGTTGCCAGCCCACCTGCAGCTGATTACCTGACCAGCGGTTGGTAATCATTCCTCCAGGCTGGAAAGGGGGATTTAACCTGGACCTGCGGCGACAGTCAACGTGGGATTATTACTCCGAACTGGTATAGTCTGTGCGAGCAGTGTGAGCTTGTTATTCGGCTAGCGTGTGGCTAACGCTGGATTTTCCTTCTTCCTCCAGGAGGGGCGAGCGGAGAAGCGAGTTGGGGAGCACACACACTAAGGGAGTTACAACAAATCAAATCAAATCAAATCACTTTTATTGTCACATCACATGTGCAGGTACATTGGTACAGCACATGTGAGTGAAATTCTTGTGTGCGAGCTTCACAAGCAACAGAGTTGTGCAAAATACAATAATGTAAACAAGCAAAATACAAGAATGGCTACATCTGAAACTAATAAATATATGTACAATATATAATAGTATATGCATTTCTGGATGTGTATACTAAATATTTTTCTACGGTGTTGGTGTGTGTGTGTGTGTGTGTGTGTACACATATTTTACAAATTAAATAGAGTAAACAATAAATAAAAATAAAATAAAATATACAGAGTGAGACATGTGCAAAACAGTGGCATTACTGTACAGTATGGAGTGCATAATGTTAAAGTTCCAGTAGTGAAGCTGAGGTGTCTATGAGTGTTCAGCAGTCTGATGGCCTGATGGAAGAAAGCTGTCTCTCAGTCTGCTGGTACGGGACCGGATGCTGCAGAACCTCCTTCCTGATGGAAGAGTCTGAACAGTTTATGGCTGGGGTGACTGGAGTCCTTGATGATCCTCCCCGCTTTCCTCAGGCACCGCTTCCTGTAGATGTCTTGGAGGGAGGGAAGCTCACCTCCAATTATCCGTTCAGAGCACCGCACTACTCGCTGGAGAGCTTTGCGTTGTAGGCGGTGCTGTTGCCATACCAGGTGGTGATGCATCCAGTGAGGATGCTCTCAATGGCACAGTGATAGAAGGTCCTGAGGATGCGGAGGGCTCATGCCAAATCTTTTCAGTCTCCTGAGAAAGAAGAGGCGCTGCTGCGCCTTCTTCACTGTTTTGTTTGTGTGTACTGACCACGTAAGATCCTCAGCCAGATGTACACCAAGGAACCGGAAGCTGCTCACTCTCTCCACAGCAGCGCCGTTGATGGTGATGGGGGTGTGTACTTCTCTGCACCTCCGGAAGTCCACTATCAACTCCTTTGTCTTTGCGACGTTGAGGGTGAGATGGTTGTCTTGACACCAGTGGGTCAGGGCGCTGACCTCCTCCCTGTAAGCCGTCTCATCACCGTTGGTGATAAGACCCACCACTGTAGTGTCGTCCGCAAACTTCACAATGATGTTGGAGTTGTTAGTGGCTGTGCAGTCGTAGGTGTAGAGTGAGTACAGGAGAGGGCTCAGTACACACCCCTGTGGAGCACCAGTGTTCAGTGTGATGGGGGATGAGGTGATGCTGCCCAGTCTGACCACTTGGCGTCTGTCAGACAGGAAGCTAAGGATCCAGCTGCAGAGGGAGCTGCTCAGTCCTAGATCCTGCAGTTTCCTGTCCAGCTTCGAGGGAACGATGGTATTGAATGCTGAGCTGTAATCTACAAACAGCATTCTCACATACGTGTCTCTCTTCTCCAGGTGTGACAGGGCAGTGTGTAGTGTCAGGGCTATGGCATCATCAGTGGACCTGTTGTGGCGGTATGCGAACTGTAGAGGGTCCAGTGAGTCGGGTAGTGCAGAGCAGATGAAGTCCCTGACCAGCTTCTCGAAGCATTTGCTTACGATGGGGGTCAGGGCTACAGGTCGCCAGTCGTTCAATGAGGAGATGGTGGAGGATTTGGGTACAGGGACGATGGTGGCCATTTTGAAGCAGGCTGGGACTACAGACAGAGAGAGGGAAAGGTTGAAGATGTGCGTGAACACTCCAGCCAGCTGAGCCGCGCATGACTTGAGGACGCGGCCGGGAATCCCGTCCGGACCAGTAGCTTTGCGTGCGTTCACCTTCCTGAAGCACCTCCGCACATCCTCCTCAGACACAGTGTGCGCACTGACGTCATCCGCGGTGCGCACACTGTCCGGTCTCATGGTGTTCGCTGTGTCGAATCTAGCGTAGAATACGTTTAGATCCTCACACAGAGAGGCCGTGGTCTGCGGTGTGCTGGTTTTCCCTCTAAAGTCTGTGATCGTGTTTAGTCCCTGCCACATACTCCGAGGGTTGTCAAACTGTTGCTCCACCCTGTCCCTGTACTCACGTTTGGCTGCTTTGATCGTCTTCCGGAGTTGGTAATGTGCGTGTTTGTAGTCCGATGTGTTCGCGGAGGCAAAGGCGGTGCTCCGTGCCGCCAGTGCCGCGCGAACATCTCCGTTAATCCAGGGTTTTTGATTTGGGAAGGATTTAACTGTTCTGGATGGGACGACATCTTCCACGCATTTCCTGATAAATCCGCAGACTGAGTCTGTGTATTCATCAATGTCCCTAGCAGCCACGTGAAACATTTCCCAGTCCGCGTGATCAAAACAGTCCCGCAGCGCAGACTCCGATTGGTCCGTCCAACAGTGCACCGCCCTCCGGGTTGGAGCTTCCTGTTTCAGCTTCTGCCTGTAGGCGGGCAGGAGCAGGATGGAGCGGTGATCTGATTGGCCGAATGGGGCGCGGGGGAGGGCTTTGTACGCATCCCGGAAAGAGGTGTAGCAGTGGTCGAGTAGCCGGTCTCCACGAGTGTTAAAATGGATGTGTTGGTGGAGTTTGGGTGAGACTTTCTTCAGGTTTCCCTTATTAAAGTCTCCGGCTGTGATAAACGCTGCCTCTGGGTGTGCGGTTTCCTCGCTGCTGATCGCGCTGTACAGTTCCCTGAGTGCTCGGTCAGTGTCGGCTTGTGGGGGAATGTAAACAGCCGTAATAATCACTGCTGTAAATTCCCTCGGTAGCCAGAATGGCCGGCACTTAATCATCAGGTACTCCAGGTCCGGTGAGCAGAAGGATTTGACCGGGTGCACGTTCGCATAATCACACCAGCTGTTGTTGATCATGAAACACACACCACCGCCTCTGCTTTTCCCAGTAAGATCCTGTGACCTGTCCGCGCGATGCACGGAGAACCCCGGTAGTTGTATTGCGGAGTCCGGTACCTTGTCCGATAGCCAGGTTTCTGTGAGGCAGATCACGCAGCAGTCCCGCATCTCTCGCTGGAATGAGATCCGTGCCCGAAGCTCGCACAGCTTGTTCTCCAGAGACTGCACATTAGCCAGTAATAAACTGGGTAACGGTGGTCTGTTAGTGCGCCGTCTCAGTCGAACCAGAACGCCAGATCTTCTCCCTCTGCGTCGGCGTTTGCGGCCTCCAGGGCCAGAGAACAAAGGCGTCTCAGGTGAGATGAATGGGGGGTCTGCAAACGGAGCGTCCGTGTTGCAAAACTTGAACTCCGGAAAGTTATAAGAAAGACCGTCTTTTATGTCCAGTAAGGTTTGTCGGTCGTACACAAGGAGACATGTGCTCTCGCGAAAAAATGAAGGAAAAGTAAAATTAAACACAGAAAAAAGCTGTTGCTTGGGGGAGCTCGCGACAATGCACACTCGGGAGTTACTACACGGAACGCACTGGGAGCAAGGGACGAGCACGATTGGAAAATTGCACTTTTGAATGGATTGTTGGACTTGTCTGTTTCACTGTAAATAAACGCACTGTGTTTCTGTGAGCAAGAACCGCGCCTGGGTCCCTCTTTTCCGACATTAGCAGTATTTGGCTCTCAAAGGTTGGCCAGCTGCACTCATCTGATGGATAAAAAATAATATGTATTCTTTTCCTCCTTATATCATCTCACTCACTAGATCACTAGATTCATAATAGAAATGA